TTAACCGTAATAAATCTAGGATATTTCCCGTGTGCATTGTGAATACGAGCCAATTTCTACTTAAAAGTTCTCCATGAAGGAATCCTTCCAAAAGCTTATAGCCCTGACGTACTAAGTTGATGTTATTACCAGTCTCACTTGTCTAACAATGGTCAGTACAAGCCTACGAAATCCATCGTGGCAAGAAGTTAAATGTTGGCAATAGCCTTGAACACCATGTACTGACAGCCCGATTTTAGTTCATTTCCGCCAGTTATTTTGAGAAAGGGGGGGGGTGTCAGATGGTCTCTCACCTTTCTTTCCGTACAAACAACCTCTTGAGAGGACTTTCTGTTCGCCGCATATTTAGGGTGCTCCCTTGCTACATAGACAATATACATTTACAGATATCCATAACTTCTACGGGATTCGAAACCGAACCCTTCGGTACGGAAGTCAGAGTCATTAACCACTATCACATTGGTGTCCACCGAAAACATCGCCGGCGAAAACGTCCCGGAAAAAACAACAAGGAGAAAACGTCGTGGAACAAAACATCGTGTGAGAAAACATCGCAAAGAGAAAATATCGCAGTTCTAAAACATCGTGGTACAAAATATCGCCGTCGGAAATAAAGCGGTTCAAAAACTTCGCAGTTTAAAAACATCAGTTTATAGTTTGTATTTTGGATAGTACCTGAGTCTCAGGCAAACACTAAAAATGTTACACACAAACACAATTATCTTTTTTTGGAACATCTTCACCGCACTATTTTGAATATCGTCCTAACCGTTGGCTTTTCCGGAATTCAGCGTTTTAATTAAAATTCTAATTTCACTTGGCTTCGTAAAGTGAAGCTTATCCGTTAAGCACAATGAAAGACCCTTCAGAGGCATACTAAGTAGAAGCTGAACCTTCCCCTGATTGCTTCCTCCCTTTCCTTTTATAAGCGAAACAAAGCTGCCAGTGTAATCTTTCCTCCCAGAATCGTAAAATACGCGACACAGATCGCTGAACGTAGCCGCTAGAAACCTCCCGTTCAAACTAATGCTGAAAGAAACACGTTTTTGGACAAATTTCTTGTGTTGCGCGTCACTAAGTCTGATAAGGCCATTAGAGAATGTATAAGGTGCCGAAGTAAAATGTGGCGGACGATAACTCGCCAGTACATAGATTTTTTTTGACTGTATTTCGTTCTTTTCCCAGACGACTTTTAAATGGGTAAGAATCTAATTAATTACGCATTCCCATCGAACGTAATTTGGTGTAGGTGGTTAGTAAAAGGAAAATTCGTAGTTTGAAACTTCCAAAAATATCTGCATGTTTACTTAATTCCTTAACTTGGTAAATTCAGCACTGCAGTGAAATTTAAGTCACTGCTCTTCGTGGTTGATTTTTAGCATGTTTATCATGATCTCGCAAACTGTAAACAAAAGTGCGCAATGTAACAACAATCCTGCCCAAAGAGCCTTTTTTGCTGAGGAGGTGCTCCCAGCCACCCAACCAGGATAGTGATTAGTGACTCCGACTGCCGTACCGAAGGGCTCATGTTCGAATCCCGAAGAAGATATGCATGTTTGTAAATGTACAGTGTCTATGCGGCATAGGGACACTCTGAGCTAGAGTTGGGCTTTCACCTATATGGTACTCAAGGCGCATTTGCTGTTCCTAGCTAAGATGAATGTCGTGGGCATATGCTGACCATTGTCAAACAAGTGAGAATGGTAGCAACAGCAGGAATTGCTTCCAAGAATAAGAGAAAAGACAAGGCATTTCAAGTAGAAAATGAACTGCTTATTTTATTACATGCAGCGGAAATTTTTAATGCCACAGTGTTTCCAGGTCTGTGCTGAACAGATTTTACGCCGATTATTCATATGATGATTCTTTATATGAGATAGGTTACCGGAAAGCAAGATCTAGCGTAACATTCGATTCGATTGCTTTGCTAATATTTTCAGTAACTCAGTTGCTTTAAAAAAAGAAGCCTGAAAAAAATATGTGTATAAAAACTGAAAATTCGAACTAAGACATGACATCCATAATACTCAAGCTCACAATTTCTTTGTGGTGTTTCCCTTGTGGTATCACTATCCTTTTCTAACCAATAACTTATTAAATGTTAATTTTAATATAAATGTGATTTAATACGCAGTGTAAATTATTTTAATGAATTCAAGTCATTTTTTGCTACCTTCGCTAAATTTTCATTTACTGAAATTTTCTTAATATCTGAAAGATTAAAATATTACATTATTCGGTTCTCAAATTAAATACATCTTGCAAGTTTTTTTAAATGTAGCTTTTATTTATTTGGTCGATATACCTTCCTCCTCCTGAAACGACTTTATCTGGGCATTTGCATAAAAGTAAACGTATTGTTTTCCCATGTGCTTTAAAAGATTCTGCGCTAAATTTTCATTTATTCAACTTTTCATATGTCAAGGGGCAAATTACTGTTCTGTTCTAAAATTACGAATATTAAATAATTAAGTGAATAATCCAATAAAGCATCATTTACTTATTTATTTTTACATTTCCTTTAATTTTTATTAGCCCGGCTATTAGTCTTGAAACGTGATTTTACGTTGTTTCACTTTTTATTCGAGTCTGTTGCCACCCGGAAAAAAGTAGGATATTATTCTCTCATAATTTATCTCTCTGTTATTAATTAACAAACTAAAAAATTCAAAAGCAATATACACAGTTCTTAAGAATTTTATTATTTTACTTTTTAATCTGATTGATTTAAATTGAAATATATTTAATTCGTCATTGTATATCTAATTAATAAACATGAAATATATTTATGGATTAAAATCACATATTTTTTCACTTTTTACATATATAGAAGATATATAACCTTCCCACGCTAGTCTAGATGAATATTCATTTAATATCCTATAAAATGTTTCACTGTTCCACCTGAGCCATTTCTATAGATAACCTCTGCCGATAAACCATATCAAACTTTATAAGAGCTCTTTGGTCGATCGTTAATATCTTAACACTGTTCTGACTATTTTATGTAAATTTTTCTATTTTTAGTCCTAAGGGGCTTTGTCCTTGAAGAACTTGTTTTCGTTTTGCGATTTTGCGTTGAATCACTATAAATGTCCGTTTCATTTTTCAAACTGTTGCCACCCAATGTTAGAGTCTTGCATTATATTTGAAGAAATTAAATAATGAAAAATCTTCATAAATGTATGCCTGTTTCTCGCATTGTGATAAAACAACGGTATCTAGAGCCATCTAATTTTGAATGATGTAATCCTCCTACGAATATGGGCATGTGGAAGACCAAATTTGAAATTTGGAATTTGTTTTATTATCAATTGTAAATTTTGTAATTGTAAAATTGTAAATTGTAATTTTGTAAAACTTTAACGAATTTTTGAGTAACAAACTCAACGATTTGAAAGCGAGCAATGGCAATAATCTTACGGGGGGGGGAACTTTTATCTCGCGCGGAACTGTGCATCGGAAATTCTAAAAATAGGCTCATTTTAAAATTATTTTGCAACATTGCTACTGAACTGACTTTTATGGTTTAAGGGCAAAGAACATGATATTTAATATATAAAGGTAACACACAAAACGTTAAAAAAATGGCCCCTTGAACGACATTTAAAATCTGAAACCTTTCAGACTTTTTTTTGGGGGGGGGGGGCTTCTTCATTTATTAGCCTAAAGAGACAATTTGCCAGGAAGGGTTATTAATTTCGTTTTGGCATTTTGCGTCGTCCAATATAAAACGGCTTTTCACGTTTCATATTATTGCCACCAAATATTAGATCCCTGCATTATATTTAAAGAAATTAAATAATGAAGATTCTGCATGAAAGTATGCATGTTTCTCGCACTGTGAAAAAACAACGGTATTTAGAGAAACTTATGATGTCCTCCACTCGAATATGGGCGTTTAGAAGCCCAAATTCGGAATTTGTTTTATTGTCTATTATATATTTTGTAAAACATTAACGAATTTTTGATTAACAAACTCAACGATTTCAAAACGAGCAATGGCAACACTGTACGAAAAAAAAAAAAAAAAAAAATTATCCCCAGCGCGCGAGACTGAGAAATTCTAAAGATATGCTCTTTTAAAATTATTTTGTGATATTGCTGTTGAATTGAATTTTATAGTTTAATTGCGAAAAATATGATATTTAATAAATACATACAGCACAAGCGCCTTTAGGCGTAATATAAAATCCGAAAGCTTTCACATTTAAAAAAAAAATTTTAATTTATCTTTTCCGATTTTCATTCATTTTTCATTTTTAATATTGGCCGATATGCATTTTTTTTTTTTTTTTTTCGTAATGACCTCCGGCTGGGTGTCTGGATAAAAGCAGACATATTGTTTTCGTACTTGCTCACTTGCCACTACTAGATGATGCCCGCGATGCTTTCGAATCTGAGGATGTGTTGTAATTGTACAGTCGGTGTGATGCCTATCTGCCTAATTGGAGTTCTGGAGTAATGCTGTTGATTTGCGTTTCATGTGTTCATTATGCACTCATAATGCCATTGATTAAATGGATCGAGTGTCGGAGAAACAAGGATTTGTTATCTGGGTGAGGAAACATTTAATCTGAATTCTACGAATTGATCTAAAGCGCGCTAAATCCTTAAACCTGTCGTTTGAGAGATGTAAAAAAGAAAACTCCTTGAAAAGTGGCTCGTTAAATTTGCCTTATTCTGCTCTATGTTGAGACGGAAACAGTATCTTAATGCAAACAAACAGCAAATGTTAACAAAATCTTTCACTGTACCCAGTAATGTTTTTACATACTAGCAATGGCACTTTGTTTCACAATAGACCCAGTTCACGTCCAAGTTTAACCGTTCAGTCCCCACAGTCCGAAAGTGTCATTTATCACTCATGAATGGTCCCTCGGACAGTGCGATGTTTTGTCAGAAGACGGGCAGCGTACTAAGAAGCCCCGCCCACTGATACGGCGAGCGGCGCGCTCGTTTCATTCAGGTTTCAGTTATCGTGGAGTGACGGTTCGGAGCGGAAGGCTATAGTGGAGATAGGAAATGCTCCGTTTTGGTGGTTCCGAGTGGCTTTGGATTTTATCTGTGATCAGCCTGTTATCGGTGGCATTGCCTCACGAGAAAGAGCAGACATACCTCGGTGAGTAATCGTCCATTTCCGTTTCGATCATTCTGTCATTAATTCGTTTAGAATTGTGACAGCTATTTTAATATTAAATAAGTCGAACGTTTCACGTATTTTATTTACGTGGTTATTGATATACTGACATATATGATTAAAAGTGAATGTCAAAAATAAAACTGTAAGTTTCTGTTTCATAAAAATGTCTAATTAATATTTCAAGAGTTATTAAAAATGTGGCAGTGTCTTGGAATATATATGCATGAAATGTTAATTTTTTTATTTATTTTTTAATTTTTTTTATTAATTTTTTTTTATTTGCTAGGGAGGATAAAGATTCTAGAGAGTTGCTATGAAATTAATTTTAGCAAATTAATCTTAAATTCGGCCTGAGCCTGGTTTAGGTATATTTCTCAGTTTTTGAGTTAAATTGTATTTCCAGACGGTAAAAAATAAAATGAGTTGGTCATTTTCATGCTACTCAGCTATTTATTATCAATTTCTTGTTTTTTTAATAACTGTGAATATTTTGATTGCTAATATCCAGCTGTCGATTTGAGCATAACCTGTAAACACACCTGTACAACTTCACAAAAACAGCTTGGAGGATTTCTTCAAATTGAAAGCTGATTTACTGTGTACTAGGTTCAGAACATCGGAAATTATTTAAGCAAGCATCGTTTCCGTATTACATGACAAATTTTCGCGAAAAGTTTTGATTTAAACTTTCGATCTAAGCAAAGTAAAATTAATATATATACATATAAAACAGCTTAGATATCTACAAAAAATTATGGAATTTATACCAGGAAACAGACAGATACAATAAAAGAGAGAATCATACAGATCGGACTTCACGTAGCAGTAGTAGAATGAGCAAAATATTGAAAAAAATTACAAATACTGGATCACTTAAAATTAATAAAATGTTTTGCCCTATAAGGTATTTCTCCCTTCTTAGCGAGCCTTCGTGGTGTAGTGGTCTGCACGCTCAGCGCATTAATGAGGGGTCCGCAGTACGATTCCCGGCGAAGGCGTTACTAATTTTTCATCTTGCCTGCTTCCAAAATACCTAATGTCTCTACAACCCTTAGGATAAATTGTTGAGCAGAATTTTAATTAAGAATTCATGTGAGCAATTAAATAAATTTTAAGAAAGTACTATTAACATAGTGAAAATTGGCCTGAATTTAAATATTGCTCCTATATAATAAAATTCAAAGTGGAAAGTATTTTTTATTACTTTTATAATTTATTTTTAGAACAAAGTAAAAATCGTATCAGACATGTTTCTGCTACTGTGCGATGAAAAATTAGCAATCGCCTTCGCCGGGAATGGAACCACGGACCTCAAGGCACGCTCGGAAGGCGGGAGAAATACCTTATATACTCTCCCTTTTAAAGGGCGACTGCTCCAGTCACCCTTTAAAAGGGATTTTAGGGGACCCAATCACCAAATCCCGGGTAAGGAGAATCATCATCCATCACCCTTTTAGTTCGGGCGCCATTGTAGAGACATTAGGTATTTTTTTGGAAGCAGGAGAATTGAAAAATTAGCAACCGCCTTCTCCGGGAATCGAACCACGGACCTCTGGAATACCGGCCCAGCGTGCAGAACCACTACACCATGACGGTACGCTAGGAAGGCGGGAGAAATACCTTATATGTATACTAATTAATAATATATGTAGTCTCTCAAAAGTCTATTTTTATATTTGTTAATTCTAAGCTTATTATTTATTACGTTTCGAAAATACGCATATATGTTGCCCAAGTTTAGCGAAATTATCAACATAGATCCAGAAATATTTGCCAACTACACACATGTGCTACATGCTTCTAATGAATGTTCTATTAAAATAAGTAACGGCATTTCAAGTGGCCTTTGTACATAGAATAAAGGTGTTTGCGGGTCTTCATCTTAAAACCCAACAGTAGGCGTGATTAAAGCCATCGAGTACTGGTAGTTTTGTTTTGTGATCAATATTTGAAGATATATTTTCTGCAAAGAAATTTTTGTGTTTTTATTGGTGTGCAGCTAAAGAATACAGTTATTTTACATAGTTTAATCACAGCATCCAGGTCTAATGAACAGTGTTCAGTTTGTTGTAATCCATTACCTCTTTTATTTTGTCTTTAAAGAACAGGCAACACTTTTTTTAAACTTCTGTAGAAAATTTCATAATAAATTTTATATTTTTTCTCAATAGCCATTGCTAAAGATGCCTTCTATACTAAAGCCAATTTGAGCATGGTATTTTAATTGGATAATAAACATATAATTTGTTCATTCTGTTGCAAAAGAATTACGATAAGCTCTATAATAATATTGCATTTAAAGTTGCAAAGAACTAAAATAAATATGTAAGAAGAATTTAAAGTATGAATTCTGTACATTTATGGCCGTTATTGGCATAATGAAGATTCCGATATCTCTGACAAAGTGTCTGGTTGCATAAATTTTTTTTTTCCCCCAATAAAAGGAATACAGCTTAATTTCTGATGATTTCTGCTCCCTTTCCATCAAAATTTCATGATAGTCTGAAGGATGGCATGTCTTTCTCTCCTTTTTCCTGTTGCGCTTCGCTCCCAGCCGCCAGTTTATCAGTAAGTTTATCTACGTCTATGAAATGCCCTAGAGATCTCTTGTCTATGTTTCCAGTAAAGGAATATTTTATCTTTCTTCTTTCCCTTTTAAAGTGTGCGTCAATTCTTCAACCTCTTAATTAGAAAGAGAAGCCACATACGTTTTCGTAATTGTAACATCATTAGCATTTTCTTATTTCAGTTCGATCAAATCTGTTCTTGTGTTATTCTTACTCGACATTCTACATTGGTAAGAATCGTGCGGAGAAAATAAGCTGTTGCAGAAGTTTGTCCCTTTTCCCATTCAAGCTCGTTACGGATCCTCCCGAGATAATCGGATTTGAAGAAGCATGGTGATCCTTGAATTGTAAAACGGATATAGGAGCTTCCAAAAACGGCACTAGATAAGTATTTTGAATTCTGGGAAGCTCTTCTCGAATTACCAGAGGCATGCGAGAAATAGAAGAAAGGCATTTGGTTGACAATTCATTCACATGACAAAACAACACGCAGTTGGAGGGAATGAGGAGTTAGAAGATTTTAAATCCGCGGGCTTTGGAGAACGATGCGCTACGATTTTGCTCTGGGAATTTTGGAGTAAAACTACGAAATTTCGTATCCCTAGGCATTTTGATACTTAAAACTTTGTAACCAAGCTAATCTTCCTTTGGATTATGGAATTTCTCTTATTAAGAGGAAGTACTATTTCAACTCCAAATCCATCTTGAATTTTTCTAGTGTTTATCTATTAGTCTTAGTGGAAGGTTGATCCTGTTCAACCTATCACACTGTGTACCTCAGAAGAGATAAAGCTAACAGCTTGATTAATGCTATTTCAAAAGAAGTATGATCTTTATTTTGCGAATACCTGTCTGGGCGTTAGTATAACTATTTAACCATCTAACTGTTAATTCTAATACATGATTTCTGAGGAGTAATTAAAGACTAATCATTCAACTAAAAAACATGTATTTTTAGACTTAAAATTAAATATAAATTTCTTCTGAAATTGAAACTCGAAATCCTAACGATATCAGCGTCATAACTCGGCGAGAAATTCGTCACCGACGAGCAAATCAGTCTAATATACCTGACCCAGAATTCCGTATCTGAGTAAATTCTGTAGTAAAAGACTAATGAATACAGAATTAAAATTAATGAATTCAGAACTGAAATTAAATAATAAAGAATCTGCATGAATATATGTATGTTTCTTGGCATTGTGAAAAAATAACCTAGTACCCAGAGTCATCAGATTTTGAATGAAGTAATCCTCCGGCCTTGGACCTGGAAGTTCGAATTTGTTTTATTATGTATTTCATATTTTGTAAAACTTTAAAGAATTTTTGATTGACAAACTCAACCATTTCAAAACGAGCAGTGGCAACAATGTGCTGAATGAAACATTTTTATCTCCAGTGCCGTTCGTTTGTCTATTGGAAATTCTAAAGACATGCTGTTTTTAATTTTGTGATTTTGCTGTTAAATCGAATTTTATGTGACGTAAACGCTAAGAATGTGATGTATAATAAATAAATACACATAACGTTAATAATAATAATTATAATAAAAATGTTTAAAGCCGAAAACTGCACATTCATGTGATAAACTGTGAAAAAGACTGCATCGGGTATTCTAAACGTGTACTGCTATGCGGCTTTTCAAATTTTTATAATATTGCTATTGAATTGCATATGGCGTAAGTGCGAAGAAAGTGGTAAAGTTTAAAAAAGTAAAAAAAGTTTAATAGGGGGAAGCGTAACAGCGGACTGGTAGATTGTGAGCTTAGCAAGAGCATAAAAACCTTAACAAGCCCTTTTGGCTGACCGTTAATATCTGAAACTGTTCAGTCTCCCCCCCTTTGTGTATGCGTGTGTTAATTAGTGAACAAAACTGCTCGCATAATAATGCCTGCAGGTGTATGGAAGTTGCTAGTTTCAAATTAAACTTGGCATTCATAATTGATGACAGCTCTTATGACGGGATGCAGTTATAAAATAATACCTTATAAGCTATCCTATTTATTCTCAAAAAAGGCAAACAATAACATCATTTATCATTATGAAAATGTCCAAAAGACTATGCTTATTGTAAATATTTCTTTTAATCTCTTGAAAATGGGATTTCGTTAATCATATCTGTGGCAGAAATATTTTAAGTTCTTACGCAAGATTTCTTGTATCACCCAAGCCTTTCTGTGTAATTTTTAGCAAACTGACAAGCAAAGCTTTATCGAAGCCTTTTTAAACGTGAGATGCAGATTATCTTCATTTCAGGCTAATGATCTCAGCTGTGCTTTCGCTCGTGAGGAAGAGATTATGTCATGATTTATGTAGTAAATAGGTGCTGTTGAAAATAATTGGTAATTTAATAAAGAACGAGCAGTATACTGAATTTCAGTGTGCCTGAATACCAACAGTCAGATTTTGTAA